GTACTTCCCTAACTCTTCATCCTGTAGTCCTTGGAGAGCATCTGTGTCTCCAGGATGTAGAAACATACTTCCCTGACTCCTCATCCTATAGTCTTTGGAGAGCAATGCCCTTTGCTGCTAACCTTTACTCCTATCCTTGGGATATCTCTTCATACCTCTCACATGTTTGAAAATTGTCCTTTAAGTAAATTCTGTTCTCTTAACACAATTTTAATGTGTGGACACTTCTTTTTAGAACCTTGACTGAAAAAGTACATATGGGCTTTGAACTGAGAGTCACAAATTCTGGTTCCTGGTGAGATGAATCTAGCATTCTCATTCTCTTCTTGCCTCTCCCATTGGATGCAACTGCAAAACCCAACTGGAGTGTATTGGGAAGCCATTGAGACCTAATGCTTTTCTGCTGGAGGCTTAAATAAACTTGGAGTGTTCTGTTAGTACCTACCAGGATTAACAACAGAGAGATCCACCCTGGATGATTCTCTCTTTGGACAAAATGATCTGTTTTGAGGAATGATTCACCCCACTAATGGCATCACACACTAATACAAAAGCAAAAAGAGTTAGACTCAACCTAGACTTGGGTTCAAATATCAGTTCTACCACATATCAGCTGTGTAACCCTGGACAAGTGGAAATATTTTAAAGTGCTCAAAAACGGTACCTCATACATACTAAGTGTCCAGCATGTGATAGCAGCAATTGTACTAAGTCAATTGATTCTCCTTACCTTAGACTGTCATTGAAACCTTCCACTGCATACTTGGATGGGGTATAGCCCCCACCACCAAATGCAAGCCGACCTCCAATGCTGGAGACGTTGATAACACGCCCTCGAGCTTTTTTGACCAGTGGAAGCATATTCAGTGTCACGTTGATGAGTCCAAACAGGTTAACTTCAATAGGTTCTCTGTAGTCATCCACTGTCAGCCAGTCAGTGGGAGCCAGCACTCCAAGAACACCAGCATTATTGATCAGACCCCAGAGACCTGGAGCAGAGAGAGTCAGGAGACAGAGGAGAAAATGTCATTTCTATGGGCATCTCGGGGGGACATGCAACCCTTTCTTTATAGAGTGGTGCTATTTCCTGTTCATAGTTATTCTTGCTTTGAAATGTCTTTGCATTTTGAGGAAGTGGTAGCCGGCAGAGTGGGAGGCTGTGTCAAAATTATTCATGTTAGTTATTGGAATTCAGGCTCACTGCTCTTCTATTCCTGGTTCCAAGTGTCATAGATTTTTTTATGCTTTTCTGAGGAAGACTTTCTGATTTCTCAACTAAGATGTAGAGCAAATTGGTCCACTTTCCTGCCTTGCAAGACAGTGCAGTCAGGGTATATTTATAAAGTATCCTGTATGGATAGGAAAATTATAGGAATCTACCTTGTGCTGAATTTTGATAGAAAAATAAGTCATCTGCTTGACTATTTCTTGACTGGAAATATATAGTATTGCTAAAAGTGAGCACCAAAATTTGTCTGGAGGAGGCTTTGCTAAATCATTGCATTTGAGGTTCAGAATCTTAGAGTTAAAGATGTTTTTGAAGCACATGCATTGGCTTTTTTTTTCTTTTACGAACCCTGATAGCTTCTTCTATTCAATATCCAAAGCTAATAAAACTTTCCCAGTTCAGAGTGTAGGCAGCTAGCAAACCACAGTAAAGAGAATGTCTAACGCTCTTTGGACTACTGGACTCCGGAAGGATCCTTCTCATATCACTGGCTCCTGTTCTCCCAACCACTAAAGACGGATGGACTCTGGACCCATCCGGTGAGATGTGGGTCCCAGGTAATCAGCCAGTGCTCTGGATGTCATTTCCATATTTCATAGACTTGAATCTCAATTCCCTTTGCTGTGATGTTGTTGAATATGGTCACATAAAGTTAGGATCTTGATGTCTGTTCTAGATCCACGTGCTGGGACTCAAGGTGGGTCTATCTGGGGTGCATCTCACATACACTGGAATGACTCAGAAGCTCTTTGGAGATTCAGAAACATGGTGCTGGGACTTAAGGGACATTCTCTTGATAGGCCATTCAAGATGTGAACATGTGCTTCACATCTGAAATCATTTGTTATTCTGTTTCAGTTAATTCCTCATCCCTCAATCTCCCTAGCCCCGTCCCCAGCTCTAGTCCCTTACCTTTTTCTCCTACATGGCTCTTCACCCACTGGGCAGTCTTCTTGACATTCTCTGGGTCAGTGACGTCCAGAAGCACTGTGTGAAGTTTCTCTGAGGTTTTGGCCTTCAAAGCAGCTGATCCTGACTCGGTCAGGCAGGCGGCAATGACATGGAAGCCCTTTTTATCAAAAGTTCTGGCTGCTAAGTTTCCAAAGCCTGTGTCACATCCGGTGATGAAAACATACTTGTCAGCGATGTCTACTGTCTTCAGCTGCCCTTTATACTTCCACAGAAAAGCACAGAGGAGCAGGAGGGCCAACACCCAAAACAGCATTTTCCTTTTCCTGTGTGTGACTGGGACACTTATCTCATATACAGTAAGAGATGATATCCTGGATGTTCAAAATTAGAAAGAAAGTTTAAATCAGAACAAGCACATGCTGGCGAAAGCAAGTTGTTTAAATGAATTCGAGTAGACAAGATAGTTATTAAGATGATTCTTTTTGGTTACTTGTTGGAAAGACAAACCAGTTAAATCACACACTGCTTCTTTAAGGTAATACCAAAACCAACCAATCAGAATTCAGAAAAATTCAGAGGGAAAGAAACGGAGTGCAAGCAAAGCTGACCCAGGTCACTGGGTGAAAGGAGCAGGCAGAGTTGCCTGGAATAGTGACACCAATCTCATGTGCAAACTCATCCATCTGAGAGACAGTCTCACAGTAAAATCTTACATCCCACCCCTTAGTAAAATTCGAAAGCAAAACAGGATCAAAATCTCCTACAACAGTGGCTCTCAACCTTCCTAATGCTGTGACCCTTTAATTCAATTCCTCATGCTGTGGTGACCCCCAACCATAAAATTACTTTTGTCACTACTTCATAACTGTCATTTTGCTACTGTTCTGAATCGTAATGTAAATATCTGTGTTTTCTGATGGTCCTAGGCCACTCCTGCGAAAGGGTCGTTTGACTGCTATGGGGGTCGCAACCCACAGGTTGAGAACCTGCCCAGAGAGCCTAGCTCAGTTTTTCTGTCCTGCCAGACTCCTGGCTTTTTTCAGAATCTAGGAGAGGAGGGCATCAATGCTGTTATCACTAAGAAAACGTTCGTTCTCAATATGGTTTCTATTTTCTTATTGTAAATGAGTAGAGTCACCCTTCCTCCTGGCTCAGAGAGTACTCCTGCTCTACTCAGGAGAGACTGAAACAAGAGATCCTAGTAAGTCAAGAAGGTGGGGCTGGGGGCATGAATGTCCGGTATCTCAGATCTTTAAATTTGGTCTTCAACACAAACCTCTCGTAAGGAAAAAAAAAGTCACTCATCAATGGGATAAAATTAATCAATTTTATGCTGTAAAATTGAGGCTTTGACCAAATAACCTAGAAGAGGGCTAACTAGACTATAAATTTTGCTGTGACTTGGGGTTAGCCCAGGACCTAATATTAAGCAGGAGGAAGGCTTCCTGTGCCCTTCCTCAGGAAACTGCACCTTTGTTTTCCCTAAGCATGCCCTACTTGCCATTGGCATTGGCACCTGCAAATGGCACTCCACCCAGTAGGAAGAAGTCATCAAGAGTCAGAAGGCAGGCTGCTGTTCTCTGGCTGCCTTAGGTCTGAGGTCATGGAGGTCCAGCCCTTTCAAGTTCTGGTGAGGGGAAACAGGAGGAAAAGAGGTCAGTTCCTTCTCCACACAGGAACCAAGTGTTTGTTCCCAAGTCAGGAGGAAGATCCAGAGAGAACATCCTCTTTGTAAAGAGCCTTCTCTCCTCCCCACAGCCTAGAGGCCTAGAAAGTTCCCTGTCATGCCCACAGGGTGCATTTTCTGTTTTTAGGGTTTATTTTTATTTAAAAAAATGATGTATTTGTGTGTGTGTGTGTGTGTGTGTGTGTTATGTGCACTGGAGTGTAGGTGCCTTCGGAAGCCAGAAGAGATAATGGGATCCCCTGAACCTGGATTTACAGGTGGTTGCCAACAGCCTAATGTGGGTGCTGGAAACAGAACTCGGGCCCTCTGCAAGAACAGTATATGCTCCTAACAGCTGGGCCATCTCTCTATCCCCCAAACAGTGTCTTTGTCCTTGACCCACTTTCCTGTAGAATTACAGAGGCCTGGAATACGTCACACGAGAAAAGCAATAGACACAGACCAAAGAGCAGACCTGTGGAAGCTTCCAGAATCTATTTATGGACACTAAGAAATCTTTTCTTTTCTTTTTTCTCTTTAACCCTGTCTTGAAGTAATGGCTATTATCCTTGACTCAAGATTTTGTTTAATAAATATGTCTATAAACAAATGCACAAATAGGATTTCAAGTATGTTCTCATACTCACTTTCTATGGTTGTACAGCCAGTAGTATATTTAAGATAAAAAATAATTCAGTGTACCATCTTTACTTCTTAAGGAAAAAAAGAATTGTTTTTAATCCTTTTTTTTCCTTAAAAGACTTATAAAAAAGAGATTAAAAATCTACTGAGAGATATTAAACTAGCAAAAAATATTAAACTTTGGGAAGCATAGAGATGCAACTGACTTGTGGTACAGTTACAGATGCATTTGAAAACAGGTTTCTAAATTACTTAATCATTTGCTTTAGCTTCTCCAAACATTTTTTTGCGTAGGAATTGATTCGTTGCACATAAATGTCCATACATCAGGGCTTCTGCTTCTGGACTACATAATAATTTCAAATGTCTAATTATGAGGAGAAGCAAAAAGCACTCATGAAATTACATATTTAAAGATTTTAATGACATTTCATATTTGCAAATCCAATTAGTTATAGTGTTTTGTTTAAGTCTGCCCTTGAGAGTTATTGAGTGTCTAATTTCATCGTAGATCAAAGTTCCAAAGAAATTATTTGGAAAAAAGCAAAACATTTGTGGATTGTAATGTCCCTACAACAGAGAATGTAACTTGTCCAACTGTCAGCTTTGCCAGGGACAGAACTGAGAGGAGTAAACTGTGAGGTTGCCGCCCACCTTGGAAAAAGCCTTTCCCTGAGGATTTACATACAGTCTCATGTGGTTTTCTCTCTAGCCTCCTGGAGTGTGTATTATTCACTAGTTACAGAAGATAATAAAAGATTCAAAGATATAAGGTGATTTGCCAAGGTCATTATGTCCTGGAGCACCATGACTTCCCATGAGAGAGAATGGAAACCCTGAACTCCCTGGCTGGCCTGAGCAGTGTCTGAGCTAAGCTCAGAGTCAACCCAGTACCTGGCCAAGACTGCTGAGAGGCTAGGCTGAAATCTTTGGGCCAAAACAATCTGTGACATCTGAAGCAGTTGTTCCTTTCATCATCTCCCCTCGTGCCATCCTCTCTCTCTCTCTCTCTCTCTCTCTCTCTCTCTCTCTCTCTCTCTCTCTCTGTATGCATGTGTGTGTGCTCATATGTATATGTGTGTATATATATATATATATATATTCTATATATAGAATTCAAGGAATGATCCATTTAGGGATGAGAATGTTTCAAGTATCTTTGGTTTATGTCATCACATCAGGCTTCCTTTAAAGTCTATGTATTTAAATCATTCATTAAATGTATTTACTCTTTTTAGACAGTGGTTATAACAGCCATGTAAATCAAAATTTCCTAGAATACTTTAGCCTCAAATACATGTATTTCAATAAGAACAAGTGAAAGCACATGTAGTCCATGCCTTCACCATAAATAGGCAACAGACAATCCTCGAACCTCAAATTAAATGACAGAGGAAATGAGTAACTGCATATGGCTGATGGATGTCAGGTTTCACGCCATCAAAGAAAAGAGCTGAAAAGATGTGAGGGGAGGGGATGCTAACCTGGACCCTGTGTAAGAGGGGAGGGGATGTTGACCTGGACCCTGTATAATTGAATGAGAGAGGGGGGGAGAGGGAGAGGGGCGAGGAGGGGGAGAGGGGTGGGGAGACGGATTTCGTCTGGGGAGAGG